CCCTACAGCCTGGAGATCACAGCCAGGGTCCCAGTCCAGGATGAACCCCTACTGCCAGGGTCTCAGTCCAGAATGAGCCCATGACCCATTCCATACAGACATGCCCCCTGTTCTTAGTTTCCTGTAGTATCCACTAGCGTCCTGTGGTTTGTGCCCAGCCCAGTGGGATGACTTTGTCAATGTCCTTGGGGATTATGAATACTTGCAGCAGATCCACAGGCAGTGGCAGAGACATTGGGACACTGCTGGGAGATTAGAGGGAGATGACTCAGACGGCCAGTAAGCCGTGGTTAGAGGCAGATCGCTGCGCTGACATTGTCCATCGGATTTGCTTGCTGGGATTTTAAGGAGGCTGGGGAGTTCCTTCCTTGAACAAAGAGCTGTTGTTGGAGGTTGTCCTCCGATCACTGTGCCCCCTGACCTCTTGCCCTCTGCTCTCTTTCAGTCATCCACAAGTTCGACTACGTGTTTGCGGAGAACGGCACGGTCCAGTACAAGGATGGGAAGCTCATCTCCAAGCAGGTGTGGGCCTGGGCTGATGGGAAGAGTGGGGTGGAGGTCACCTGCCATATCTGCCATTGATTGGCTTGGTCTGTATTTCAAAGAGCTGCCACCCCTCGGCAGCCAATGGGATCTGGGGTTTTATCATTTCGTTCATTTAGTTTAAAGGTCAATTTTCAGTTTTCTTTTTTTGTTTTTGTATCTTTTTATCTGAAGTTGTTTTTTTCTGTCTGGTGGAATGCTTTTTCGTTTATTGTTGTTTGTCCGCTGGGCGAGGGGAGGAGTCATTTCTCCTAAGGTTGAGTATTTCATCAATGTATGATGTTTCATACCTTAAAACATCTGCCTTCTGTTTGGTTTCGGAGTACTGCAGCATTACAGAGTTTTTGTTTCATTTCCTGGGTGCTTCCTGTTCCTGTGGTCGTGCGTTTCGGGGTTCATGGGAGTTGTAGTTCTTTTCTCCATGTTCTCAGCGCTTCCTTGTTTCCTGTCCCAGGCCATTCAGAACCAGCTGGGGGAGGAGCTCCTACAGGACCTCATTAACTTCTGCTTGCGCTACATGGGGCTGCTCAAGCTGCCCAAGAAGAGGTGAGGCTGGAGATCTCTCTGTACGTCCTAGAAACTTGGGGTGCCATCAGGCCCCCACTTCCAAAAATCTTGCAGGTGGCAGCCGGCTGTAGTACCTGTCCAGACAGCCTGTATTAACTCCTGTGACCCTCTCCCTGTGTGTGCAGTGTCCAGTCAGC